CGGTAATATTTCGCTCTATGATTGCACCGAAAAATATTGCGTACGCTATTTATTGGGAGTGTTTTGCACAAATCTAGAAATCAATTCGCTCTGTGGTTATTTTAGTTGAAATTTTATGACATTCATTGAGGAACTTTGACGTAAAAAGGCTTTAAAAAGATTGCAACTGAACTGTTTGTTTCATCAAATTATTTCTTTCATAAGAAGTCAAGATCTTCAAGTATTCGTTCCAAAGAGAAAGTATTCATCAATCCCAAATCGTTTTCAAACTTTAGTGACTAGATTTTTAGTGGTATTTGTTTCTATTTACAAGCGGTCTTTAGACTTGACAATTTAGCTTGTGAAGCAGCAGTATTCGCTAAATTTTTTTTTTTCCTATTTTCGCCTTAGTTATTTTTCTATTGATACTTGAATACGGGTATTTAAAATATCCAGATTTCGCGACTTAAAATTATTGTATAATCATTACTTGTATTAAAGTTTTGTAATCAAGTTTAATGTTTACTTTCTCAATAAAATGAAAGCAATCAATAAAATGTTTGACAACTTTAATTGTGTCCATCATCTATTGTCTTTTTGACTTGTTCAGTGAAGAAATTTTTTAAAAAATCGCACTTTTAAAGGGGGCCTGGAAACTAGTGAAAATGTAGGCTATCTCTTTTACTCTTTTTTGACTACGTAGGGTTGCCGCGAGGAAAAAAAATTCTGCACGTTTGAACAGGGTCTAGTCAGAAATCAAACATATAGTTGGACTTTTGATGGGAAAAACCATTTGCAAAGTGCAATATTTTTCCCGCCAAAAGACTTGGTATATTTTTGACTCAAAACCAGACACCACTCAAAAGTTCAGACTTTTTTCCTAGGGAGAATTTTCTCGCCAAAAGACTTAGTTTCCTTTTCGACTTTTTTTCGTCCCGTTCCAAAGCACAAAACTTTGCCGGCAAGAGACTTAGTTTCTTCCGACTTGTCCAACCAAAAGACTTGGTTTTTCCTTCGAGCTTTTTTTGCGACGAGCTGACTTGTTAATTGTTCTCAAGCTAACACGAGCTATGATTTTTAAGACATTTTATTTCAAGAGTTCTTTGCTTTGCTCGTAACGTGTAATCTTCTGGTTCGTGTCAACGGCTTTGAACCTGAAAGAAAAGTAAATTAAAAACAAAACTTATTAAAAACATCTAAACATAAGGAACATAACTCTCGCTCTTATACTAAAACCTTACTACTATGAACGGCTAAGATTGACAAAAAATTTTAGCACATGTCAAGATTATTTTAATTTGATTTTCTCCATTCGTTTTTGCATTGTACTGTAATACACTACTCTTTTCTGAGGAATAAAACAATGCAATATTAAAACATCCTAGTAAAGCAACTCAGCGGGGCTTTTTAAGAGTTACCCGAGGCCCGGCCTCAAGAGTCCTCATGGGCCCGATGAGGATGAGTGAGTGAGTGAGTGAGTGAGGCGCTCTTTAAAAATGGATGTTTAGTAACAGTCTGAAACGGCCACTATTCTTTATCGACTACTTTATTTAGCGATCCAAACGTAAAATAGACCTTCGAAGTCAAAATCAGCTAAATCTGCTAGGCACGAAATTAACATACAGAAGCAAGTGCTATAATGATTAAACTTTAGTATTTTTTCGCTGATATTACATCGATGGTAAATCATCTCTCAAGCCACCGAGCCTGGAAGATGGAGGGCTGTTCATGAATGCCGATTTACAACACAACGGGTTAATAATACGAGTAACACCTTACACTTAGTGCTTCGAGTCCCGAGTTCAGTTTTTTCCATTCAACATTCAATGGACAATTCTGAGAATTTGGTTTCACATCAAGACAATATCTTCCCAGCTGTTTGCTAGGCAACCGGTTTGGAATTTTCTACAACGAACTCCATTTAGTTAAACTCTAGTGGCATGAAGTCCACCGGTATTCCAACGAAAAAAGCCATGGGGCACTTTTAACANATTTTCTACAACGAACTCCATCTTCCCCCCCAACTCCCCCCCTCCCCCCACCTCCTTCATCTGAGTCAGCCAACCGTGAGTGAAATTATTTTATGCAGCTCATAAAATACATCATGCTTTACTGAAAAGAAACACTGTGACACTTGAAAAACAGTAACCGAGATGCTGGTATAGTAAAAACACACGCTTTCCTAAATCATGCATATTACATGGTGTCAATCTGGCTATATAAAGTTCTAAACTCTTGACCGTGTAAAGCTATTTTTTCATGTTCTAGAAATCAATGGCATTAACTTCTGTGTAAATTTGGGCAACAATTGAATGCTTAGTATTGGAAATGAAATGTTTTAAAGCTTATTATGCACCAGATGAATGTGTTTCCGACTCGTTAAAAAGCGGATATTTTTGCCATTTTTTTTTTATTTTCAGATCAGAAAACAAAATAATAAGATCTACTAAGTACAAGCGACATGGAGAAGACAGTTGAGAGGTCAAAATTTCTGCAAGGGATGAATAAACAGCTACTTAAAAGTTTACTTATCAAGGAGTAAATCCTCTTTTTAGAATTCTGAAAAACGTCAGGAGTGTAGCATGTGTTCCCGCCCTTATACTGGACCTTGTTAATTCCATCAGTCTCATTCATTAGGCTTTGTCATTGTCAAATGTCTCTTTTGCAGAAATAACTGCAAAAATTAACTCCTTAAAATTCATTTTTAGTTAAACTCTAGTGGCATGAAGTCCACCGGTATTCCAACGAAAAAAGCCATGGGGCACTTTTAACAACGATCTTATGCCAAATTTGTGTGATACAGCTCTGCTGGGATGCACATTGCTGCTTGGAAACCAGGTACTAATGAAAACTGGGTAATACTATATTTTAACAGGTAAGATATTTAGTAGCATGACAAGAATTACAACAAACGGTACTTTTAACCTTCTTTTAATCTACTCGCAGGCATTATGACAAATACAATTCACACAAGAATTAATCACTCACTATCGAATACTATTCTATTAATTAGTTTCTCTAACGTTTGTTATCAAGCCAACTGACTCACACCAAGACTAGTTAAATAGTTGGATTCCCAATACAGTTATGCCTCGTACAACTATGTTTAACTTCCATCATCTAAGCATGTCACTGATATTGGTGAAATCTTGACAGATTAGAAAATTGTTTGTACTCACCAATTGCTATAAAGTGGCCACTTCTCTTTTTCAAGACTTTGTGAGACATTCCATCATCGTATTTGTAATTGCAGTCCTTCAAAAAACTGTGAGAAAAAGCAACAGATTAAATGCATGTAAGATCACTTGCCCCTTAATGAAAACAAAAACCTGTAATTAAGTGAAAATGTTAACTATGGGAGAAAACCATACATTTTTACAGAGTAAAATTAATTTAAGAGTATTTCGGAGATCAATAAATAATACATGGTCTATAGGCGAATCTTTGCTGACGTCATTGTTTACCTTTTTCCTCATTAACATACGACTTTGCGCATAGAAGGCATCATGCTAGACACAATTTTACTAAAAAAAACTTAAAGAGCTCGTGAAACTTAGTAAGTGGTGAAATTTTTGGCTCTTTGGGTATAATATGCGAGGAGAAATTGGCTTTCAAAAACACCAAAATTTCTGTGTGGCAAAAGCGCTAATGAGCTCATACATTCTTTGTAAAATTTGAGCTTTTAAGCCCTCGTCGCACAAAAAGTATTCAATACATCGCACTCAAATTCCTTGGGACAGTTAATCGTGCTATGCCCTTTCCATATTCAGTATTAATCTCTATGTAGCTCCATCAGAAACTGTATCGCTTATGAGGCAAATATTCTAAACAAAGATTCTCCTATAGGTGACAAAGTGACAAAGATAGGTGACAAAGTGATAGATGATAAAGGTAAGCCAGTGAACATATGAAATAAGAATTTATGCAAACTGTACTCAACCTACAAGCAGGCTATTGCTAGGACACAGAGAAGTTCATTTCCAGCCTTTGGAGGAATTATCCACTAACCACTGATGAAACAGTTCAGAAGCTGCTGGGGGAAAAAATTACAGCATAATTTAGGACATTTTGTAAATAGGAACACTGTCAGGGATAGGGGAACGGGGACAAGGAGATTTCTGCCTCATGACTAACTACATAGGACTTTGTTCAAATTCAACCAAAAATTGTGTTTGTGAATTTACCTGTCCAACGAAATTTGGTTTAATAATTCTTCATTTCTTATGGAGCAATTTTATCAGACACTCAACACTGTAAAGAGGGACACCTAAACTGTACCAAGAGCAGTTTTACCTTCAAGACAAGTACGTTTAATTTGTTGACTGGCTAGTCCAGGGTGACCCGGGGATAATAATGGAGTAATTAGAACCCCAACTGAGAGCTAGAGGGACAACACCTTTGGAGAAAGGACAACACATGGAGTGTGAATGGTTGTTTCCCAACCTTCAGTGAACTGTTCCATCAGCAATGAAATCAGCCACACACTGTAGAGAAATAATGGGGAAATGTTTCACACTAGTTCACGGAGATGAAATTTCTTTCATGATGGCATATCGATCACAAAAGGCAAAAATCTAAAAAGTATTCAGTTACCTGCCTAAAATTCACATATCTCCATGTAAAAATAAATTTAAAATTTTAACATTTAATGGATAAAACATATTAAAAAGTATTAAAATAAAATTTAAAAAAAAGATTTCGTCTCACCAACTAGAGAAGAAATACCAGTCTCTACAGTTTCCTTCTACAATCACTTCTGATGAGGTTTGTTTCTTAAATGCAATAACAGATTAATACACTGTTAAATTTATTCTGTCTTATCACGTTTGAGGAAATGGTTGATTATCCAGTGATGAAATGGAATAAACTTAGATCATTCGGCATTTTCCCAACAAACTATAAAATATTTCTGCGAACTCAACGAGATATGTAAAATGCAACGATTCACGCAATGGAACGGACATAATAATAAATAACAATATTTATTATGCCTGCAGAACACTAATAGAATTTCAAAGTTAAACATTCTTCCCGGTTATATGCCTTCTGTACTTCGATATTTCCTCTGAGCTACAGCAAACAAATTGCCAGATTCACAAAGAACTAAGACAAGTAAATATAACCACGAAAGGACATATCATATGCTATTTCAGGCCGTTACCTTGGTAAGACGAGTTCCATAAACGTGGCAAATTCGCTTCTACACTTATGGCCGTCCGCTCGGTTTTCACAGGCCAAACGTCTGCGTTTCCCTAAAGTTTTCGGTGTCGTGTTTACCTCATTATTTTTTCCAACAACCTGTAAACGCATTTCTTCTTTCCCCAAAGCTTGGAAGTCGCTCGAAACTTTCAAATTCAGCGTTCAACAGAAACTCCTGTAAACGTGGTTTCACGAAGAACAGTTCACACGTGCAGCAAATGTTGAATAAATTATTTTCATAAATGCTTTTGATC